GGACCATTGTATAGAGTTTTAAGTAAGACATAATATGAAATTGACCGATTGTAGGAATGATATAAATGATGTGAAAAATACAATCAGTCATCTTTCTTGTGCATTAATATATAAATATATTCCATGTAATGGCCGTTAAGATGATCCAATGTTATGGATCCTAGGACTGTTAGGGAAACTAAAATTGTTTAACCCCTTTGGTGTAAATATTATAGTAAATTACAAGTTACAAAACATTTTCTTCGGTTTTTTTTCTTCTTGTGGTCTTTTGTAGATAATATTTTCTGAATCAGAACCATGACATAAACGGCTTCTTAAAAGAAAAACATCAAAGACAGTCTTTCGCAGTGTCATCCTCTCCATAGATCTCTGATAACGTTGTCGTTTGACCGCAAACTAAGTCTGAGATACTTTTTGCTTTTACTGAGTGGCCAAAAGACTTTGCACAAACGCTAAAATCTTTCGTCATTTCACTGATCTCTTTGCTCTCCTGATGGTCACATGTACTTGGTAATTTAACAGTTGACATTGGATATATATTATCGTCACCAATACTATTCTTACCAAAAGATGCAAATGAAGTTGTAGTTGATGTAGTTGTGATCATATTTCGTGATTTATCGATGTCCATATAATAATCCTACAATGAATTGAATTATATTATTTTTTTTTTATATTGGATTGACTTTTTCCCCAAATATAATAATATATATAAATTATTACTAACCTTTTCTGAATTTAGAGAATTAGTAATTTGAGGTTGAGGTGCACAACTCTGATTACATTGTGCTAAAGCAATTAGCGCCTTTTGATTTTCTCTCGCATCAACTAAAAATATGCTTTCCTTGACTTCTTTTGCATTATATTCATCAATTCTATGCGAAATATTATAAAATATTAAATAATTATTATATATATTTTTATTATTATACAAAAATAAAATTTTAAACATTGCTTACTTATCATAAATAACTGCATGCAAACCAAGTTTCTTTAAATGTTGAATTGTATCTTTATCATTATTGTCATCTCCCCAACAAAAAATAATTAATCCAGCATCCTTTACAAATTTGACTTGTGAGGGATCTCTAAGAATATCTTCAGTATGAACATTAATTCCTAAGATATCAGCTGCTAATGCATGTCTAACAGCCATTGGTATCGTTTGACATCTCGGATCATGATAAGTAGGATATTTTGAAGTTACACCTTGTGTTAAAAATACTACTGGATATTTATTTTGTTTAAGACGAATCATGGCACAAATATCTGGATTGAATGATGAAAAAACAATTTTCCTATCCCCTCCATATTCTAGAACGACTTTCAATATAATGTCCAAATACATATTAAGATCGAAAGGATGATTAAGCTCGAATGTGCCGTCCTGTGTACATATATATATATATACAATTTCCGTGAGAAAATAATAAAAATATAAAATAAGTAAACAAATAAATTTATTATTTTTACCTTTAATTGCATAGTCCATTTAATTTCGATATTACAGCCGACATGTTGTTCTAATTCTTGAAGTACAGTTTGAAGCGTAGGAAAAGGTTGATGATCTTCTAAATCTTCATCAAAAAATCTTGGATTTTTTTCTCGACCTTCAGCCACATGATACACCTGTAAAAAAAATGTATTTAATGAAAAATAAATAAAATAGATCATTTCGTCAACGAAACTCTGTTAGATCATAAAAAGTTGATAAATGTTGTCGATATTTGATATAAGAGACTTTTTGAAGCCAAACAAAAGCAAACACTCTGAAGTCATGTGAATATATTAAAAGTAATATCATGCCTTTCATGATATTATTCACATGCTGTGATAATGTGTTTTTTTATAATATGTATACATTTTTCGATGAAGAATTTCGCGCTTGTGCGCGAAGTCAGAGGGAAATGAAACTGGTGAAAGATTATTAAAAATGATCTTCAAGATCTTTAAAGCATTTTTGCAAAAGATCGTTTAGTGATATTATATTGATAAAAAATACTTTTCAATTACTTTTGAATTATTTTAATAACTTACAATATTATAATAAGATAAAGCTTTTAGCTTTTAATTAAAGCATATAATGTACGATATTGTGACACGATGATATGATTTTAAAAATTAATTTTAGTTGGTTTTAGAATAAATTTTAAATAGCATGCATCGAGTTTTTTAAATAACTAATTGGTTATATATTTTGACGACGAGTTAGGCGGCGCAAGCGGTATGAAAGCTCACCAGTTGGTTAACCCCCTGTTCAGCTTTATCAACGAAATACAGCACCTTACCCAACGAGTCCCCCGGGTAATAAAAATCCTGTTGAATATTAAAAAGAGACAAATACGAATAGGTATGTTACACCTATAAATTCATGATTTCATGTCTGTGTATCTACATACGATACAATCCTTGAAGTGATTGATTTTTCCTTTAATACAAAAAAGGACATAAAAAGCAAGATATTAACACGCGTAGCATTATTAAGAAGCTGCATTTTATTAGTTAATGATAAATGAAAATTATGTTAGATGAACCCTATTAACTTTTTGAAAAATTATTAAATAATTATATAATAACTCTTGATTAACACTTTTTACATGAAATTAATACTTATTTCTTGATATATAATTTAAAATATTTTTTTTGTATCATTTATATATTGTTATAACTAAAAAAATCTTTTAATTTTTTTCGCGTGTTTATGCAATATGAATATTTTATAATAAAAAAAAAAAAAATAAAAAATTAAATTGCAAATATTGAAATTTGTAATTATAATTATGAAACAATGATATGAATATGATATGAAAGAAAATATCATTCAAATTTAAATATATATTTTAGAAATCATTATATGTTCATATTCAAAATTACCTTTAATAGATGTAGTTGTTCTAATGTAAGATCCTTAACAGGTATTTCTAGCATATCCATAGCTTCTATTTGTTTCTTGCGTTTTAATGAAATAGATACATAAAAATCGTGGTAAATGACCGGTATGTGATCTTTAGATAATTGAACATCAAATTCAACCATATCAGCTCCATGATATGATGCAGTCTTTAAAGAAGCTATTGTATTTTCACGCACATTAGCACAGCTGTGAATAAACAGATAAATAAAAATATAAACTTTAACATTCAAAATAATTTTAACAAAATTTTAGATTTTTAATGATTTTAAAAATATTAACATACTTTTTTGTTTGAAAAGATGTACCTAATCCCCTATGTCCTACATCTAGGCCAGACCACCGTTGTTCCCAATGTTTAGCATATGAAATATTCATATCCCATGGATAATCTGGAATTGATTTTATCACAACATATTCTAATGTAAGTTGTCCTGCAAAAAAAAAATTATTATACAGTAATTGACAATAATTTTTAATATTAAAAAATAAAATAAAAAGAAAAACAAAATCATACCAATTGGTCTATGCTTTGTGCTTGTAATTGGTACTGTTAGAAGCCCAACGCTAGATTGTAATGTACTAGGTAAAATATAGCTGAAACCGATATGACTTGGTGGTTCTCCTGGAAAACATCTTGAGCTGTATACGTAGTAGTCCACCAAATAAGCCTGAAAAAACATTCTATTCGGTATACATGGAAAAATACTACTATTTATAACAACACCAAATGCTTGCATCAATATTTTTTGCTTATCCATTATAGAGCTTGTTTCAATTAATTAAGTCCAATGATCAAGGACAATTGGTTTGAAGAAACTTTTTTCTGAATTTTTCTAATCTGAGAAACAAGAAAATTACTAATAAATATAATCAAATTTTATGGCACATTATTAACGATCCTTGATCACTAAAAATCGTAGGAATTAAACTATATCATGAAAGACATTTGTACATCTTTTGTTTTTTCGAATTTTTATCAATTTTTTGGCAGTTTTAAGTAATTTATAGGCAAGAGCAACAAATTACTAAAACAAAGATAATTTATTTCCTACATAATCTAGCAATGAACCAGACCAATAATTGCCAAATGCTGTACTCTGCCTGGTGACGCGTATCCCGCAACACCTGCCGATCATTCATTATTAAATTTCGATATCAAGTCTGTAAAGTTTGTAATTCAGATTTAGAAGATTCTGACAGCTTAGTCTGGCACTAGCCGCGCAGCGGTGTCACGTACGGTACAGTAGAGAGTTGGTCAGAGCTAGAAAATATTAGTAGTACACTAAAAGGATATAGGAGTGATGGGAGCCTCACCATTTTCGACGCACACAGATGGATATGAGGTGTGACAGCGTTGATATCTCTAAATTTTTAGGTTTATTTAGGATGGCTGTAACTCGCATAAATCGATCTCATATAATAGTATAATATAATAAATAAATCTTGTAAAATCCAGTCTTTAATAGTAATATGATGTATTTCGAAAAAACATACAGATTTACGAGAGACCAGCCTAAGGATAGGTATGGTAGGGTTAACGACAATCAAAACCATCATATCTCTGTGTGATGTCATGTGACACAGATGTAAAGTGGTAGACGATGCTTAGCATCGATACATCAGATTGCATGTTAGCATCATCATTTGCACCAGAGATCTTGCTTTGTACAAAGCTGACGGTTGTCTTCGTTCCAGGCCAGTGCGCGCGACATCGCTTCTGGTTTCCAAGGAGGGCAATAGCTGCTGAACAAGTTTAATTATTTTTTACCAAGTAATTTGAACAAGTCGCGAAAGAAGACGTGGCCGGCCTACTCGTGGTCTACTGAAAACTCACATGGTATGGTCAATGCGTATTTTTAGCGTGTCTAATTTCTTATCTGAATTACCAGTAGTTCGTCATTTATTGCTCTGCCATATTCATAATTTTGATTAATTTTTACATATTTATTTATCTGCCATTTTATTTATTATTTCAAATAAAGATGTACTTTTGTTATCAATTTTAGAATGAATCGAATATTACATCACATATTTTTTATTTTTCAATTATTTAGATTTTTCTACAATTAATTGATAAATTATTAAAATTAATACTTTTGATGTTTCCATCTGTAGAATTATCCATAAAAGACAGAAAAGTTGACTTGAAATAAAGCTATCCTAGATAAATACGTAATGTAATAATATAAGAATTATAAGCAATAAATACCAACCAATGGTTATTCATCGAGTTGTGTATTTACTATGATTTCTTGATGAGATATTTTATATGATTACTTACAATAGTTTCAGGATATCGAACTGCAACATTGAAGATAATAAATTCGTCTTCATTGTAAGCTCGACCAAATTGTTCTTGTATCTTGAAACGAGCTTCTTCATCATTCATTACCTAAAATTATAAACATATTTAATATTATATATTGTTAATTATAATATTGTTGCAAAAACAATATGATATTGATTTTGATAACATATATACAAAAATATATATACAAAGATATATAAAAAATTATATATATAATTATATATTATTATATAATAATATTATATAAAATTATATAATAATTATATAATATCATAATATATCATACCGCAACTTCTGTAATACTAAAGGCAGGTTGATCAATAATATCTTGCGTATCCATAGAAAGACTATCATCTACACAATCACCACCAAATTGTTGCAATTCTAAAGAATTGTGTCTAATTAAATTTACAGGTGTCATCTAAATTAAAAAAACACTTTTAATTTTTTAAATTTCATTTATCAATTTTCAAATACGTGATTAATTAAAAACATACTTTAATGTGAACTTTTCTATTTTGTAGTCGATTTTTCCATAACTTAATTGGATTATTAAAAAGCTTAAATTGTATCACAGTTTCATCGGTCAACCAGCCTCGTTCAATTTTACAGTAGCCATTATAATAACCGAATTTATCTGGATCAGGCAATGTGTCACTACTAAAATTGCTAGGTGCTGTAACAATTTTTTTAATTGTACAATTTATGATAAAAAAATATTACTAAATTCATTATTAATTATATTAGATTATATACCATTTTTTTTAATAAAGCGTGGTGTCATATGAGTCTCCCATCTACGAATAATAAGAGTCTTGGCCGAATTTTTAGTACCATTAGAATGACAGATGACGGCAACAAAATATCGGAATTCTACATCAGCATCAATGGGAAGTGCAACTTTTTGTGAAAATATTCTTCCACCTCTGAAATTTATAAATTTCATATATGCTATAATTTTCAATAATGATAATTAAATTTTATACATATATCTAATATATTAAATGAAATAAATATATTATAATTAAATATAATGTAGATATAATATAAATATTATCAATAAAACTCTATTATATTTGGAATGAAATACATAAAATATACTTACTCATCATCTATATCACCAAATGAGTTATCTCCAGCATTGTCATGTCCATCGTCACTATAAAATTCTCCACTACTATTACTGTCAAAAAGTATAGGAGAATCCCGACTGCCATGCTCTTGTGATAATTGAATTGCCTGATTGTGATTCCAAGCACCCAGTTCAGGTAAATTACCCACTACATACAAAACTTCATTTTTTTCTACTTTATGTACCTAATTAAATAAGTTTATAAGAAAAATTAAAAGTACTAAAAAATTATTAATTAAAATAGTGAAAAAATTATTATTAATTACTTGGACTCTAAAAATCCAATCTCTTTTAGATCCCCTCATGTCTGATGTATGTTCAGTTGCCACCTCGATGAAGTTAGTCTCACGTGGCTTCTCTTGCTGCTTGTATTCCCCGTCCTCTTTGTTCTCTATAAACCATATCCGCTGCATATTATATATGTTTTCTTTTTCTCAGTGTTTTTCTCTTTCAATTTTCTGTGTTTCAAGGTGTGTTCAATTCACATCAGCTAATCTTCTGTAATAAGGGACTTGTTGTAAAGTATGCCAAAACATTTTTAATAGCAATCAAATGGGACGATTATTTTATAGACAAAATTTTTATGAAAATTAATTTTTGTAAATTCTTCTTTTAAAGAATTCTTATTGCAAACTTTACATTAATAATTATTTTATGTCTATTATATAATATATTATTTAATATATTTTTATCATTTTTTGATTAATATAATAAATATTAAAAAAATTAAATATTTTATATTAATTCATATATTTTGAAATTTAATTATGATTATTAAAATAAAAAAATATTTTAAATAATTTAAATATCATTTTTAAATATGTTTAAATTATTTTATTCATTTATTTAAATTTCATAGATTTGATTAAAAAATTATATGTTTAATAAAAAAAATCTAGATATGTAGTTATATTAAAATGTATTAAAACATATAGTATGATATAAGTATATAAATAGTAAAATATATAGTATGGTATTGTATCATTCTATGGTATATAATTTTTGAAAATAAGAAAAAAATAAGGAATAAAAAAAACCTAAAATAAAAGAACATTTTAAATAAAATAAAATTAAGCAATATTAATATAACATACACATACACACACACATACATATATAAATAATTTAAAAACATAATTTAATTTTACAAGTAATGAATGAAAAATTTTATTAAAAAACAATCCAAATTTATTTAAAATAAATTCTACGAAATCATGAATGATAAGACAATTTTATATTATATTTTGCATATTTTAATTCGATTAAATATTTGATAATTTTTAATTAAAAATTTTAATATTTAAACAAACTTATATACAATATATTTTATATTATTTTATAATAATAGATTACTAAAAATTAACAAGAATATATTAGAAAATATAGTATAAAACAAATGACTAAACATTAATATATGAAATAAAAGTAAAATATTTGACATTCTTTTTTTAGTAATCAAAGTATAATTTTTAAATTGTTTAATAATAAATTTAATACATTAATAACATATAAATATTCATAATAAACATCACTTTGTTTCACCTGATAAATGTTATATGTTAATATATGTTATATATGAATAAAATAAAGCCAATTATAATTTTTTTTTCACAAACTGTTGCCAAACTACGACATTTTTATAATTTCAATGAAGAAACAATGAACATAGAAATGTATTAATATAAAAAAGTTTGAAAACAGCTTTTAAACAACATGTCGGAGATGAGAAAAATGGAAAAGAATTTAATAAAATGATAAAAAAGTGAAGTTTTTCAATCGTTAATTCAAATTAATTTTATGTATCAATGCACATCATTCCTGAAAATATTAGTTTACCTATTGTATGGAAAAAACACGGTAGATTTTATTTGTAAAGATTGATTAGCAGCCTGGTATTCACCTCGTATAAGAGTGTGTGTTATTTAACGAATGCCCAAGGCAGTCGCTCTATATTTTTTATCAAATTTGTCATAATTTATTCTTTCACAGCACAACACAACTATTTTAACTAACACGATACAGCTCAAGTACAACACTACACCGCAATACTTTTTCTTTCGCAGATGAAATAATGGTCGATTTGGCAACGTCGTGAACGCGGAAGTGACGACAACGATTCAGTAGAACCACTAATTCAAACTATCTGAACTATTACAATTTGAAAATTGTTATTCTTAGAACTTTGTGTATGAATATTAGAGATTACAAATAATATTAGTAACTATACTTATTAAGTAAATTAAAAATATTATATTTAATTCATGCAAACATTTTTATTTAAGTAGTATTTCACAAAATTTCGAGTAGTTACTTCCTGTCCGCCATGCTGCATCGAACACAACAACCAATATATTGTTAAGTAAAAATAATTTTATGTATTATTTTTCATTCAATACAGGCAACATTTGAATTTTATATTTTGAATTACATAAATATTATAAATTATAAAAATTTAATCATTTATATTTGCATATAATAAAAAATATATAAATTATTTACTATTATTGTTCAATAAAAATTGTATGAAAAAAATATATTAATCAATTTTCAATATTCATTGATATTGATTTTAGTAAAAATATATGAAATTCAAAAATACTATTCGAAGTTGAATGAATTTATATGCATTGTTAATAAAATTTTAAATATCTTTCATATTTACTTAAAAACTTCTGTTTCGTTATTACTATATATAATATTAAATGAATATCTAATTTTTTATCGAAACATTATATTTTTATTGCTATATATAGTATAATTTGTAAGTGTTTATTTTCAAAAATATATTTTCAAGAAATATTAGCTATAAAATATCGCAAATAGTTTCGTTTCATAAGTAAAAGAATACATGAAAACAGAAGAGAGTGAATGATAATTTTAATTTATATAATATTAAAAAATCATTTTCCAACTTAAAATAATAGTAAATAATAAAAATGATATTTTTTAAATATTATTTATATTGTTTTATTTTTTTTATAAATATGTAGATGATGTAGATGAAAAAAAAAATGTTTAATACATTTGATCGGAAGAAGTAATAGTAGGTAACAGGAAAACACTTGTTAAAAAAAATGTTCGTATCGACTATAGGGGAACTATGATAAGAGTCATGACGCATTAAAAGAGGAAACCACTCAATGCAAGATGCGCTGATATTATAATATTATTGATTTTGTCATAACACTACATAATAAAAATATTTGAAAACAAAATAAATATATATATATAAATAATATGTATAAATGCATTAATTTATTAAATGCATCAAGTATCATATTGTTATTAAATTACTAAATTAGTACATTACTAAATCATATATTTCTTAGATTACATCTTTTCTTAGATTAAATAGACAGATGTAATCATATTAGAATAATTATACAATAATCATGCAATATCAAGATTAGACTTCAAATTTGATTATTGAAATGTGAAAAATATACAGGCCCAGTTAAGAAATGTATAAAAATATAAACAAATCAGCTATTATTAAACTTTTAAGAATTACAATTTGTTATCTAAATTCTAAATAACTTAGATAAAAATTACGCGAAAAAATATCATATTTGTGTTAAAAATTCTTTAAATTTATAAAACAGAAATTAATTTTATTTTAAAATATATTATTCTATTTATTTTTAATAATGAATTAAATTGTTTTATAAATAATATAATAATTCAAATAATTTTTCACATCAAAAAATTTATTATGTAAATTATGTATTAAATTTTGTTCCTTTTTGATATAATTTAATAATATAATATAGTTATTATAACGAATAGATAGTAAACAACGTTTCTATTTCTCATTTATTTTACTATCGAATTTTAAATTTTTAATTGATACATCATATTGAATTACATTGATAGAATTATTTTTAATTTATTTTCAAATGTAAAAAATTATATTAATTACTATAATTGCTTTTGATTGTTATAATTAATCATTATAATATTTTTATGTTGGATTGTGTAATTAAATTGTAATGAATGAAGATTAAAATATTTGTATATTTTAGTATATAATTAGTTATAAAAGATATATATTTTATTTTTTTAAATATTTAAAAATATATATTATGTAACTCTTTCTCTAAAAATTTTTTTTAACAGAGTTTCATATACTATTCGAGGTATTGTAATGTATCAGTATAAATGAAGAAATCAATATCGTTCCTTTGTTGTAAGAAATAAGTATTTGTACATCAATGTCTGTATATCAAAGATATATCATTTCAGTGAATATTCTATCGTAAATATATTTTCTTGTGCCTCTTATATTTTTGTATTATTGTTTATGAAGATTATTATTTCAGAATTGAAGATATTTATTTTTATTATATGAAATATAACTTATAATATATCTATAATTTTGACTAATATAATTTTTTTTGCATTTTTTAGTATTTTTACAATTTATCATATATCAAAGTTTGAAATTTATTTATTGTGTATCTGATAAATTGGATGAGCTCAACTATATATAATAATACTGTTTTATTTAAAGTTTTCTTCTAAAATTCTTTTTTTAAAAAGAAAAAATAGATTCAAAAATCTATTTTGTAAATCTATTTTTGAAAACATTTTAATCTAACATTTTATCTAAAAAGATTTTTAGATAAAAAAAAATCATGAATTACAAGAAATACTTTATAAATAAAAGTATATATATTATAGAAGTTTGGATATATTTTTCAGATATATTTTATTCCATAAAGAACTATTATAAAAGTTATAAGTTATATTAAAAGTTATATTACATTACTAAAATATAGAAATGTAGAATTTTATTTTTTATAAAATAGAAAAATATTGACATTTTGAATATTATTATGAATTAATTTATAGATATACAAATATTTATCTTTCGTTATTATTTATCATATTTTTCTCTCTTCGTTTTAACATTTTTAATTTATTTTAAATTAAAAATTACAATTTTTGTTATATTTGTATTTATCATACATAAACAATCTCTGAGATAAGTTGAATGACATAAAAAATAATAAATGTACAATAAATGTCACACAAAGTCGACAAAAATAATCTATGTTTGTAATGTCATTATACATTATGAATAAAAATATCTCGTGCCTTTATTTTCATTTTTTAATTACAAATTCTTAATAAAAAGAATAAAAGGAATATTAATAGTAATTTCTCTATGAATCTCTACATAAATTTACGTATTTGGCTGCAAAATAACAATTTTTTAAAAATAAATATTTTAAAATAGAATTATATTTATATAACTTAAGTATTATTTGGACACAATTCAATGTCTTGTTCAATCTTTCTTAGCTATCATAAGATATCTTGTATCTTTTCTTACTGTTTATTAAAATTACTACAACTAATTAATTTAAAATTTATTTTATAAACTACGATATTTTATTAAATATTTTATTATTAGTTAAATATGTTATTTTTTAGAATTTTATAGAATTTTTTAGATTCAATTTTCTCTAGAATTTATTTATTATGAAACATGAAATGAAAGAAATGAAAAAACAGAAAGAAAGATTATTTTAATATATTTAAAGAGCAAGAAATGCGAAGATATATTTATATGTATTATATAGATTTAAAGTAGCCGAACATTTATATATATTTTTCATGAATTATTATATTTTTATTTATGTTTATATTTTTTATATTTATTTATATTTTTTTATATTTTTTATTCTTTATTATATATTTTAATAAAGAAATTTATTATTTATATATATTATATTTTATTATATTTTAAATTATTTATTGAAAATTAATAATATATATATATAATATATATATATAATTATATAATAATATATATATATAATTTTATAACTTGACATAGAGATTACGAAAATGATTTTATTATTATGAATTATATGATTTATAATTATAAAATATCAATTGAATTTTTATATATTGAAAAGAAAGATTGAAAAAGAAACAGTCCAAAGTTAACTGAATATATAATGATCAACCTTCGTGAAAGTCATGCTATGTCATTTATCGATCTATCTATATCGTAGATAGAGGACTCTTAACAAAGATGTAAAAAAAAACGCTCAAGGAAATAAAACTATGGTATGCGGCTATTGTAATACCATTGTTCCATTACGATTGACACAGATATATGTACATTGTATTCGTAATTGTATGTACTTCTATCTTTTTTATTATCTTAGTATTATTGCATACAATTGCATAAATAAAGAAATTTTCATAAACACTGCGTGTTTTATAAATGAACGTTAAAAATATTTTCTACTCATATTTTCATTCTATTGTATTTAAAAAGATTAAAATTATAAGCAATTATATTTGATTAAATATCTCTAATATCTTTAAAATCTTCGCATAAAAGAATAAATTATATTATCTAAATATTAATAAGTTTTTTTTTATTGATTATACTTAATTAATCATAAGTTATAAATTTTTTTATTATTTATATTACACATTCCTTTAATTACATATTTTATTTCTAGAAATACATCATTTGTTTATAATTTTCCTTGAATTGTTTAGCGAATTTCAAAATTAGAGAATAAAACGAGCATAATACGTAATGTTGATTCGATTTGAAAATTTTTTTATATAGTATACAATATTATAATTCTTTTTTTATATAGCATATAATGTTGTTGTATAATATTTGTACATAGTGAAATTACATATTTCTTTGCAGAAACAATCAATTAGCAAAAGAAAAAAAATAATAATTATAAAATTATAAAAATTAATGTTTACACTCAACAAATATAAATTTTACGAATTTAATTATTATTATTTTTATTTCTATGCTTAATTAAAATAAATAGTAATAATATAGGAATTTCATTTTTAATATATTAGAGATTATTGAAATTTTCAAAATAATTTAAAATCAAGGAAGTTAATTTATAATCTTTAACTATATTTGTACAATTATTATTTTGTTACAAGAAAATTTTTGTTTTGTATAATTAAAAGAAAAAACTAAAGAATAAAATATATATAAAATTCAATCTATAGAAGAAATTTACCACTTCTCATTCATCATTATAAAATTTATACTTATAATTGAATTATTAAATTATTAAAATTATTATTTAATTTTGAAATGTTTGTAATATTAT